ATGTATTTACAAATTTTTTTATTTGAATTGAATTTTTATATGTAAATAAAACCATATAAAATAAATTTTATAGTGATTTTTACTTGAAACCAAGTAAGAGTATTACAAAGGAGAAAAATCACCAATTATGGGGACTTTTTGTGAACATTAGATAATTACTAGTTCTACTGGTTCTAAAGCACCCAATTGGGTCCAAGTGTAGTAGTTTAAGTCTAGAAAAATTACAGTAATTTTTCAAACACACTCAATGTTAATTTCAGCATTAAGATAGTATAGGAAATTTACAGTTGAGAACTAGTACTAGTGAATACTAATATTAATAATAATAGTAAAATACTAGTTTGGTACTAGTTTACTTATGTTAACTTATCAAATATTTGTGAAAAGTTCTTAATTTCCACTTTTATAACAAAAAATCGCTATCGCGTTTTGACATTTTGAAAAATATGTATATGGAAAAAATTATATGAAAGTCTTTAGAAGGAAGTATTTTTTTAGAATTCTGTAAAAATACAAAACTTGTGTTATGTCAGTCTTATAGTAAATGTGCGATATGTATTTATATTTTGAAGAATAACACAAAAACTATAAAAGAAATCTTAAATTTTATATGTATTTTTATTATGATTTTTGTAATTTAAATACAATCTGTTTTTTTCTTAGAAACAATAGAAAGTAAATATATGAACCTTATAGTACCCAACAAACATTGAATAAAACTTGTGAACATTTTTGCATAACTACATAATTGTAGAATCTACAATGTAGATCAACTAAAATAATCGATTTGGAAGGTTAGTACTATTGGATAGTAGGCCAGACGAAAATTTTTTGCTCTTTCGGTCAAGAACTTCCGTTCGTAGAGGGGGTCAAAGTTAGACATTTTGTTCATACAGGGTTTTATTCCAATTTAGTTTAGATGGCTATTTCTTCACTGTTTTTAATTTTTTTCAAAATGTTCCCTTTTTTGCTCGAAAGAAATCTCATACATTTTCTTTTAAGGGCTTTATAGTCGCTTAATTGGACGCGAGTGGGATATCTATCAACAAAATTATTTTTAAACTTAAGAATAAGATTTTTTGTTGCTTTTTTTGTTCAGAGGAAAGCTTACACCATTTCACAGAGATCGCACTATACGAGTTGTTATAGATGGGATCTCATCAAACGAGTTCAAGATTAATTCAGGGGTACCGCAAGACTCCGTTCTTTACCCTACCCTATTTCTTATCTTTATAAATGACCTTCTATGTCAAACTTCCAACTCTATCTATTCTTTTGCGGATGACAGCAGTATCTGCCATTCTTATTCATTCAATCATTGGCCAAGCCCTCTAGAGATTGGGGCAACGAGGCGCAATATGAATGAATCGCTTAATCACGACTTGATAAAAATCTTTGAATGGGGTCGTGTTAACAGAGTAGATTTTAACGTCCGCAAGACTCAATGTTGTTTTTTAACACATAAACGCTTGGCAGATATTGTTGTTCCATCTATATATATATATATATATATATATATATATATATATATATATATATATATATATATATATATATATATATATATATATATATATATATATATATATATATAAGGAATCGATGTTCTGGGCATGCAAATTCAGTGCGATGTCCGCTGGACATAACACATTTTTTAAGTGTCGAAAGAAGCATTCAATTGTCTCGGTTTTTGGAAAAGGTGTAAGACATACTTCACTCTATCTGATCTTCTTACTATTTACACCACTTATATCCGACCGAAAATGGAATACAACTCTCATATATGGGCCGGAGCTTCGAAGTCTATTTTAGAGCTACTCGACCGCATACTATTGATTCACTGGAGCACTGTCGCAACGTGGGGTGTATTTCACTGTTCTATCGATACTACAATGGAATGTGTTCCTTTGAAACTAGGGAACTTGTTCCCGATACCCGTATATTCTTGCGTAACATACGCCTTTCTTCAAAAACACACCCATTTGTGGTAGATTGGCCAGTGGACCGCACAACACACTACAGGGAAATTTCAATCTTTAGCCGCACTGTTCGTATGTGGAATAAACTTCCTGCAGAGGTATTCCCTGCCACTTTCGATATAAGAAGATTTAAATCAAATATCCACAAACACTACTCCCTCTATCCTCCTTCCCACAACCTATTTTCCTAGTTCCAACACAATGCTTCGCATAAGTAGGGGACATCCCCTGAGTGCTGGTCCAATTAAAAAAACCTCTTAACCTCTTAAATTAAAAAAAAAACTCTCATTTAAGCAAAAAACATACATTCTTTTTAAATATGAAATACATATGTTATTCACTAAGTGATTATTTAATTTTAAAACAATTTGCTTATTGTGTAAGGTTTTTATTAATATATTTTAATGCATATTTTCTTGTCAATCCTTTTCAAGATATTACAAACTGAATATTACTTTAAAATATTTTAACTTCTTGTTTTTAAGTTTATTGTTCAGCAAGAATAAACAATTTCTATGTTTTTCGACTGAAAAGAATGTATTGTTAAGATAAAGGAAAATATACATACATCCATATTTATGATATATATTACAAAAACCTTGTTGGTTATTCAAAGAAATATAGTTTAATTAAAGGAAAATTAAAAGTTTTTCTTGAGCTAGCTATTTAAGATATTCTTTACAAATAATTTTATAGAGAAAATTTTATTACATTATGAATTAACGACTAGAAAGTTTATATACTAAGCGCTTTTTCGCAATATAAGATCGGGTTTAAGGCATTGTTAAGTTTTATAATCAATGTTTATCCTTAACAGTGTTTTCAATTAATATTTTTCCGGAGGACAGTCGAAGTAGCTATTTAACCTACACTTACATAAGATGAAGTCCATCGTCACTCCACAGAGTACAATGAGACAGTCAGAAAGCTAGTCCAAAGGAATCAATACATGGCAATGTACCTTTTGCTTAAGTTTTCTTTAAATGCGTACTCTTTAAATTACTTGGGGCAGTAAAGTGACGACTGTCTATGCTCTCGCTTACAGAAGGGACACTAAAGTGACGGCTGCACAAAATTTTAAAAAATTCCATTTTTTACGTTTTAAAAAAATATTTCAAATGTCTCTCTAAGTTAGGCGTATACTTAATATTTGTAATATTAATAAATCATTAACACGTATACGTACTGGTGTCGTTAATAAAAGCAATACAATTTAACAATGTTACTTTTCATTTGAAATTAAAAATTGAAGATGAAGTTTTTTGGATTTTATACCTTCACAATTGTTGTTCTTTATGACAAGAGCTGCCTACAATTTTGCCTCAGAGAGTAAATAAAAACTCCAAACGGTTTGCAAGATATGAGCTAAAGATAATTATCACTTTTTTGCAAAAATGATACCGAGGTCCCAAATCTTTGGCCATAAAAAAAGTGCTTGACTTTGGGCAAAACTGGGAGACACGGGTCTTTTTTTTTTGGTCTTTTATCACGTAGTGGTGTCCGTAAATAGTAATATTTTCATTACTTAAAAAAATACACACAGTTTTCAATTAAAGTTTTGTGGGAATTTTTAAAATCACTTTCCATGAATTTTAGTTTATAAAATAAGAACTAATTCATAATACATATGGGCAATTCCATACGGTTTTATGTGACACTTTAGAATGGTATAGATTTTGTAAAAATAGGAGTACTTTGAAAATAATTTTGTCATTCTGTTCCATTAAGAGAATACTATATTCGGTAACAAATTCATCACATTCGGAACCTTGTTTTCAAAATGTGGATTAAAATAAGGTGATATCATACGTGACAAAAAAGGAAGTGTTTTTAAATGTAAATAATACATGTAATAATAATATACACGAATGCTACTATTACTTATAGGTGAGTTATAGACGTTTAAGTGTTTTTCTGAAATTAAACTACGTATGAAACCAGGGTCAAATGAGGTGCAATCGTTATGAAAATCGGTAGTACGGTAGTATTATAATTAATAGAATTAAGAACTAAAAAGCGATATTTGGGGTCCGTTTGTATAGGTTCTAGGTGTATGGACCAATTTAAAAAATTTTTTAATAGTTTTAGTATTTTTTGCAACAAAAAATCTGTTCTATATTAGGTTCAATAAAGCTTCACTAGAACTATTTTCTAGGGTTAAAAAATCGAATAAAATTCATTCATTTAAGAACCAGTCCCAGAACTACAGAACTAGTTTCATACGAAAATGTTTTTCTTTAAACGAGAAATTTGTCTGTGTATATAATTGGAATTATCATTGGCTTTATGATTTAACGCGTTTAAGAAAATATTTTTTTGTTTTTTATTGCCTAAGGCAAAATAATATTTTCCAGTATTCAATTTTTATACAATTATTTCGTATTTAACGAACCACACCAATGGAATGAGGAAACTTTATTGTGGCAAATTAAATAAAAATCGCACCACATCACTTTAAATACAATTGACATTTTTTATTTAATTGTATTTTGTGGACAGTTTAATATGAAAAAGAGGAAATTGAAAAATCTCCTTTAGAGATAAACATGTTAACTTTTTTGTTTCTATTTGCTTTCTTTAATTTCTGGATTTGCCCAAGGAGAAACAATACAAATAAATAAAATCGCACTTAAGAAAATGTGAAATGGAATTTAAGTTGAAAATTGGCGAATAAAAAGTATCTAAATGCTGATAACTGCGGTTCCTCTAGCGCCATTTCACTTTAAAGTCTTGGAAAATTATAAGTTTTTTATTGTTTGCTACTTGTTATGGAAATTTAATGAGAATAAATACATTTTCTTTTTATTTTAGTCTTATTTTATTTTGTCTCATCTTCAACGCCAACTTACATACATATCTTCTGCTTTTGCTTCTATCCATATGTATACCAACTAAACTTGTAGTTGCAAATGTTGTTTAGTTGGAAATAGAAAATTAAGTGTATGAAACTAATGGCTTCTCTAGCATTTTTCTATTTAATTCCTTTTTTATATAACTTTTCTTTTTTTTCAATCTTTACAGATGAGTTTCGTTCGAAAGTAGCTTGTGAAAATGACAAAATGCCACTTGAATGCAATCCTTATTCAAGGATTGCAATATACAGTGCTTCCTTTGGCTACATAGAACGCGAAAGTGTACAATGCCCGCATAACAATTCACAAAACGCTCCAGACACAAATGCTAAACAGAGTAAGTACTTGTTTATACTACAATATATTTGATAATTAGGGTGTTTTTTACTATTCAAAGATTGTGTTTCGGGTTGATGTAAAGCAGCAATTAACAGGTTCTGAAATTTATATGATATCTAGTTAAACTTGTTAGTAATTTCGAATATAAAGTATATATTGTACACTGGAAGTACACCGCGGTCTTATTATGGGGCTCTTGTTTGGTGGAGAGCTGTGGACATCAAGACTCACCTTTCTATTCTAAACAGGGTACAAAGACTAGCATGTCTTTCAATTACTGATTCTATGAATTCCTCCCCTTAGTCCAGTCTAGAGATGATGCTAAATATAACTCCCCTTGATATATATAACAGTTGCATTTCTGCTAAGTATGCTTTACGACTTAAACAGTCGAGCGGACTGAAGTATGATCGTATTGGTCGCGGCACCATCCTACAAAGATATACAGGTCAATCATGGGGCAAGAACAGACTTCATAGTATATACACTGAATTTCAAGCTCAGAATACTGACAAGAGATAATTGGGCGCGAACACTGACCTAAGGGACGTCACGACGTGATCTCAATCTCAACTGATGGTTCTAAGATAGAAAGAAGCACGGGCTCGGGAATTTTCTCTGATGAACTTTTGCTTTCTGTGATACGGGATTAGGGTAGTCAAATGTCATCACTTGTATAATATTCAGATTGCTCTGGCCCACTCTGACAGAATATAGGATTCTTTTGTCTTTTAAGAAGAATTATAGAAGGCTTTTCACGAGTATAATAACTGGGCACTATATGATTGGACACATGTCGGAACGAATGGGCGTTATAGCTATTATAGAAGTTGTTTGGATGAGGAAGTGGAAGAGGAATCAGTACAACACCTTCTAAAGACCGTCCAGCCTTACAAAAGCATAGACTATTATATCTTGGTAGAGCTCTTTTCCATGAAAATATATAAATATGATCAGATTAATTAGAAGTACCGGTTGGTTCTCACAGGACCTCAGGAACCACATAGTCAACGAAACTAAGTAGTTAAGCAACTTATCCCTTTATGTTTAAATTCTCAACAGTTATTTTAAGGGCCTCATGGTCTTTGAGTGAACTCGCTAACTTGCGAGCAACCAAACCAACCTATCATTAATATAGTAGGTATAATCAAGTGCAAAATTTAATATGTAATAATAATGATACTTGAAACTCTTAGAGCAAATATGTAGCTTCATCAAACCAAGAATTTCCGAAATTCAAAAAAAAAGGTTAAAAACACCCTAATCTACGTACAATCTGTACAATGTAATATGCAATTAAGGTTCCCACCTTAATTTCGTCAAACATATCAACGCACACACACATACATATATGTAGTAAAATATTACCCCATAATTGTACGAGTCAAAGAATAAGAACAAGAAATGAATACAAGATGGAAAATTCTTATCAAGTCATTGTTAAAATTACATTTAAGTCTGTGTGTGAGTGTTTGTGTTGCATGGAATAGTGTTTTCTTTTTTGTTATTTCTCTTTATTTTTATTTGCTCTTCTTTGTGTTTTTTGATTCAACAACTATTTAGCCTGCCTGGTTTCTTATGCCACGGAGACTGTTATGCAAATTTGTCACGGGCGACGACGTTGCTCTATAACTGCGGATGCTGGTACTTTCGGAAGACCCTGCAAAAACGATATACCCATGCATTTAAAGGTCGTTTATACTTGCAGTAAGTACTATGTAATATATACGTAAATTATTTAAATCTACATTCATACAAGTGTAAATAGAGTAAATTATACGTACACACACAAATGAACAAAAATTAAACAGAATGAAAGAAAAGATATTCATTTTGAATTACATGCATAAATACACACATACCTACTTTACTATTTATGAAAAATACACTTATATATACTTGTATATAAACGACATTTAATCGTCAGTTTTTTCATGTTCTTCGTCATCTTTTATTTAATTTGCATTTTTTAGTACCACGTAAAGTACTTAAGGATCGCTATGAAACTGCACCGGAACCAGATGAGCCACAGCAAACTGAATTGGATTTAGATCAAGATGAACTTTACGATGAGGATCAATTTTACAAGGAAGGCGAAGCTATACCACCGGCACCTAAATTACAAGGGGCCATACCAAATTCTGGCTTTCCCTATGATTTCAATATGCGTTCTAGCGAGCCCACAACAACACTAATGCCATCGATACTCTCACGCAACGACAACTCATTGGAGGGTAAATATCACAAAAATTCATTTATACGTTTTAATTATTTTTTGTGTTCGATAACTAATAATGAATTCATACTCCTTAAATTGTTCAAAAGTGTCTGCTTGCAATTAAAAATAATAATGGAAAAAAGTATTGCAGTCCTTTATTTTTCAATTGAAAACACAAATATTTCCATTGCTTAATCTATGTTCATGCATACATACATACATATATGGAGCATTAAACATGTTCTCATTTAGTTATTTAATAATTGAAATAATATTTATTGATTGCCAGTAATAAATGATTGAATGACTGACTCACTGACTGCAAGTGGGTGTATGTTCGTTCATACTATTTCCCAGTAAAACTCTTTGAATACGAGTATTGAGGTTAATGAGTCATTGAAATTAATATAAAGAAGGAAAAAATTCAACTGAAATACAAAAACTTTTTACAATTTCAATAACAATAAACGCCATTAAGGGAGGAAATGCAAAAGTTTTAATTGATTGTTTTAAGGGCATTGAAAATACAATACAAATATAAGAGGATAAACAAAAGTACATGGGTGTAAATGTTTTTTAATAAAACGATTTCATTCATTGCGGTTTACCAAAATATAAATAAACTGCAATTATTCCATAATTAAAATAAAATCAGTTAATCATTTTTAGTGGGAAAATATATAAGTATGCTTATATAAAATTATTTGTCTATTCTAAGTTAGAATTGATCGATTTCACTTTTATGATCTAGTGAAGATAATTATTGAAAGAAATGATTTAAAATTCAATACAGATGTAGTTTATAAATTCTATAAATTTATGTTTTTAGTTTTTAATGCTATCAGTGAACCAAGAGATATTAACAAAATAAAAACAATATGTAATATTCATATTCAGAACGTGATTCTGAGATGCCAAGTGTTTTTTTATGTAATGCATTTTTTTGTGTGAATAAAAAATTATTCATCTAAAAATAATTATTTTACATATATAACATATATGTAGCTCATTTACCATAAGACTGGCATAATAAAAAATTCGGTATTTTTGAACTGCGGGCAACAAACATGCGGCATATTTAAAAAATTTTAAAGATGAAAGGAATACTCCTCTGTAAACATCAGGGATATCAGGCTTAAGTTCAAAATTAAGAATTAACGAAATATTAATTTTTAAAAACAAACTACAGTGGGACCTCGATTTTCCGTGATGGTCGGGACCGGAAGCATTCTGTATAATCGATTTTGCCGGTTAATTGAGTACCAATTTTGGCAAGTTTTTTTATATTTTTATTTATTTATTAAGGTACATATTTATATAAAAACTAAATAATTGAAGGATTTTATTTACATAAATGTTTAAAAAATATAATAATTTTATCAGAAAACATTGACAACAAATAACAGCATTGTGCTTATATTTACGGATAATAGAGGTAATCACGGTTAACCGATGCAGAAAAATTTGGATTGACTTCCAAAATAAAATTAAGTCGATGCAAAAAAAATTATTTTTTCATCCCGGATAATCGAATCACGGATAATAAAGGTCCTACTTTATTTTTGTTAAATTTTTTTCAACCATGAACATACATATATGGGAGGTAGGGTCAATTATGGACTGTTTGTTGTTAAATTTGGTAGAAAGATTTCGAGTCGTATCGCTGTACACGAATTAGAATTTAGTAAGGACCCTGAACGGTGTGAGAAAATTTTATGGATATGACTTCACTACACACTTTATTTTGACGTATATTGATAATTTTTGACGAAAAATGGAAAAAGTGTTTTAGTTTTCTTTGGAAATAGCCATTTACTGTAGCTGTGAACTCAAAATTACGCTTTAAATAGAGAAAGATGTAAAAAAAGCTTGAAAGAGTTAACCTCTATTTGAATGTGGATTTATTTTTCAAATCTGACTTCAGTAGACAATTTTACAGGAAATTATAAGATATACTTATGAATGTGTGAAATTAATGCATAAGAGCAAGAGAAAAATGCATTTTTTAAAAAACAAAAAATTCAAAAATTGATTTAATCAATGGTAAATATAATAATTCTCAGATGGCTTTACACCATCACCTCCGAATTTAATAAAAATCCAACTCCATTTAATGTCCCACATATAACTTCGTACCTTACGTAATATATCGTTCTAAAGTTTAAAATCAGATAATTAAAAGTATCATCACATCTAAGGGGTTAATTAAGGGAATTGTTATTTTTATATGATGTATAATTTTATATAATCGTTTATAACGAGGTTTTGAACACTAAGCTATGATATATACTATAAAAAATACGGTACATAAGATATATTCTTAATAATTTTTAAATTTCAAAACAAACACTCGTAATTTCTATGAACAATAACATTTTAAATTATTTTTTAACTAATTGTAAATTGAAAGATTCCAACGAACACCTATGTGTAAAAACCCAGCCCTTAAGAAGTAATTTACTTTTAAATGGATTACATATTCGATTTGAATAGATGCAAAGCAAGATTTTTTCCACAAAATTTTACAGATTTGATATACAACATAAGTGAAAACACTCCTTTTTCTCAACAGCAAGTCTAGTGCATACATATTTTTCCACAAATTTTCTACTAAACGAATGTTTTTTTTGTAGAATTGTGAAAAATTAAAAAAAGAACAACTCAAATTAAAAAGAATGTCTGTGAATGAATGAGTAGATAGATGTTAATTGTCAAATATTCATTAGTAACAAAGTTTTCAGATGTTAAAAGGTTTCTCTTTCTAATTTTACAAACAACGAAGTAAAATGAACATTGTTAGAATGTGTTACACATTCCACTTGTAGCAAAGGAAACGAGAAACTTCCTAAATACATACTTACATTACATTTTCCTCCCGTATATTTAAAAACAAATAAACAATTTGTCGTAACCACCACACTTGTAACTAGAATTCGCATGTGTTTGTGCTCTAACAAATACATTCATACATACATATATCCTGCATACTACAACATGTGCCTTTAGCCTTGCTTTTTCACCTATTAAGTGTCCTTAAAATACCTTAAAATGAATTGCAACTAAATTAAAGCTCAATGGCTTCCTATGTTGTATGTGCTCTTTCGTAGATGATCATAATGATGGTGATAATGATGACGAATACAAGTATAATAATGACAAGGTTGATGTTAACCATGATTACGATGATAATGAAGACAGAATTGACAATGATGAGGTTGAATCATCATTATTCAATAAAATTAACTCAACTCACAAACTGTCAAAAATATTCTTCAATAATGAATTAGATTCTCCTGAAACTACAATAATTTTCTCATCAACGACAAGCTCAAGTTCTGAGAATTCTCAAACTGATGGTGGAAATGGCAGTGATGATGATGATGATGAATTAGCAATATCCCCTCATTACATTTATCGCAAAAGGTGTCAAATGGTGGATGACTGGGGTACAATTGGTTTAAATTGCACTGATGATGACATTATCAAAGAGCGTGTTGTCGTCATTGGTTTCCTTGTCAACTGGATGAAAGCTTTTATTCATATTAAAAGTGAGTTCTTTCAAGAAATCTTGTTCAATGACTGTAAAAAAATACTAAAGTTAAAATAAATCATTGCACAGTAAACTAATACTCCATTGCACATTTATAATTACTACTAAAACTATTTAATGATGTTAATTGGATGATTTTGATTTGAATTATATGTATGAGTAAAAAGTTTGTTTGTGTGCAAATATTGCAGGAATTTCTATAAACTGAATGAATAATTTATGTTTGTCAGTATAATATATAACAGGGACATTGTTTTGATTCCATATGCCGCGCATTAAGTGACATTGTTCTTTTGGATTCAATCGATTTCCGACACGGGTAAGTTTTAGACACTAAAAAATAAAATTAGACCAATCCCAACAAAATCGATATTTTTTGGGCACCTCTAATGTACATATTGTTATCTGAGCAATAAGCAAATATTGAGATCAAAATTTGGGATTCATCAATCATTGAAACTGTCCGAATAGTAGCAGGACTAAGTGAAACAAATTATTTGCAACTCTGTTGAAAAAAAAAAATAATTATTGAAAAAAGTTTATGCATGATATATATAAACAAATACAAGTTCGCAAATATAATCGATAAAGTACGATTAAAGTAATTAACAGCATCTGCTTTCTAAATCCGTTGAGAAACCTAAAATCGTTTGAGATTCGTATCTCTATATTTTTGAGGTGTTTGGCTAGTTTCATAAACAGATTCTTGTTCTACTCGGATCCATCTATCAGAAAAATAGTATCACTTCCCAGGTATTTATTATTGTTGCATAGTGTTATCTATTACATATGTATATTCAATAAAATTGAATAAAAATTTTATAAATAAGAAATAACTTACAACTTTAATGACTTTTATTTGCAAAATATTTGTCATTTGCTCGATATTTAATGTTTTCAAATATTCAGTTTTGTCATGAACATCATCAAATTTCACTTTGGGCCACCCTTATGTACATTATAGGTTATCAGAAGTAGTTCAATTGAGGCAATATCAGTGATATACATACTTTTAAAACCGACGGACAATAGATTTCTAAGTGGAAATGTCTACGTCTTACGATGGTATTACAACCCTCCGCTCTATAGTAGTGTAGGCAAAAAATAACCCAAAATAATTATTATCAAATTTATAAGAATTTTTCTTGTTAAATTTGCTCCCACTTTAAGACAAATTGATAGATTTTGTATTCGATTTCTTTTGCTAAATTTACAAGGCTGTGGTTTATGTCGAAGCAATCCACAAGATGAATATTTATTTTATATTTACAAGCAAAACAAAAAATAATATTCACAAAAATATGAAATCAAAATATTAGGAAATATGTATGTATGTAAGTATGTTTTTCTATATTTTCCCCAGAGTATAGAAAATGTCTAAGGAGTATGAATATGATAAAATGAAATACAATTGGCTTACAATACTTGACTGAGATATTGTCTTGTTTGATAAAAAAATATATAAAAAGTTATCTAAATATAGTATGATAAAATGTAAAACCACATTATTTGTATTTTATTTACCAACAAGAACTATTTTTCAAATAAACATTTATTATTTTTATTGTTTTCATTTATCATGTTTGGTTTTTTTGTATTGTTTAATTCTTTTCTTTGTATTTATGTATATATGTGTTTATTCTTTATTTTTATAGAAAATCAAGAGCAATTCTATCTGTATTTAATCATATCTGTCGCTATTGGCATGTTGCTGTGTCTGACTCTGGTAATTGGTCGACTGACCCTCCAGCGAAGGCGTTCTTGCCGCAAAAATAGTCTATCGAGCTGTAGTAACAACGAGAAAAATAGCAGTGATAAAATGGGCAGTACCGGCGGTATTGGTGGTGGTGGTGGTGCTGGTGATAATAATAAATTTCAACATGAGCCAACAGCACGTGAAACACAATTAAGCGGCTCCTTTGCAGATGATATATCTGACATTGATGCAGACATTGACTTGACTAGTCCAATGCCAGTGCCAAGTCTTTCAACGAGAAATGAGGTAAATAAACTTATTTCTCTTGTACATATTCCCTTTTGTTTTATGTCCAGTAGTTGAAACTTTTATTTTGGGTAAACTTGTGAAATGAAATGTGACATTTCTTATATTTCTGCATTGCTCTTCTCTACTGACACAATTCTGACAAAAGCTGCAATTCGAATATCCTTTTTAATGTTTTAAATTATTTGCATAATTGTTTTAACTGACGGATTCAAGAAATGTGTGCAATCTCTATTTAAATATTTCCGCAGTTGAATTGTATATTGTGCTGAAGTGTACAAAACAATTTAATCAATTTGTTAACGTTGCTAGTTGATATGAGTACCGTAAACACTTGAGAAAACTCGTTTAATATCACGAACTTTTGATTTTTAGTTGACAAAAAATGTAGCCTATTTTTGAAAACTAATGTGTATTACACATCGCCATGTAAAAAATATTTGAGAAAAATCCGATTTCAGGCAGCTTCTGAAATTACAATAATTTTGTAATTTTAACCCATATGTAGGTACTTTTTTATTTTTGGGAAGAATTCGGTAACTCAGTAACTGTTGGAGATATCGTAACGAAATTTCCAAAAACCTCCTTATGTTTTTCTTTTATAGAACAAATTTTCTTCGGAACTATATACAATTTGTATATGACCAGGAAAGAAGTCTTAATGCATTAGCGTGTGAAACAAAAACGGAATGTGCCAATCCTCACAAAGAATATTGTTTATGGTGAGACTAATTTTATTCAGTCGGATCTAAAATTAACTGGTTATAAATTTAACCCAATCGGATAGAAGAACCTTGTGGAAAATTTGATTACTTGTCACAGAATTGGATATAACATACCAATTATTCGTGTTAACAAACATTTTGATACATATTTATAAAATACATACATATGTTAATAAAAGCACATTTGTTAAAAGTATAATATATTTAAATTACAGATCCGCTGACTTATTTGCCACTTTAGGTGCCATCCGTACAATCTATATTAAGATTTAAAAATATCGTTGAATTGGCAAAATAATGAACTATAATAACTCAAAAACAATTAATGATATGCAAAAAAATTCTTATAATAAAATGTAGGTAGTTTTGATGCTATTATAATTTCTATAGAAATTATAATAGCATCAAAACGCTTTCAGAACCCGGCAGTAAGTCTATTTTTAGCAATATAAAAAAAAAATTGATTTTTATTGGTCAATTAGTTTTGAAGACAACAACGATTAAGAATGTTCGATTTTTGTGTGTTCAACCTTTAGACCAGAGCTGAAAATGAATCATTCATTTTTTAATTAATTCCCGAATTACAATTCAATTTAATTTGTCAAATGAATAGCAATTCGTTTGTAATTCAAATGAATTTGTCAAAATGAATTGCAATTCATTTGAATCGAATTGACTTTGAATTAACTAAAATAAATTAGCAATTTTTTTTAACTCATTGGAATTGAAATGATTTTGAAAGTAAATATACAATAAACATCATTGTCGTTTTGTTATTCAACTATTTGAATTGAAAGCGAATTGCAACTAATTTTTACAAATTCATTTGAATTGGAAATGAATTGCAATAAATTTCTGTATAATTCGTTTGAATTGATTTAAATTTCATTCAATTAATTTTTCTTATGAAAAGAATTAAATCAAATTTTTTCTATTTCGTAATGAATTAAAATCAAAAATTAATGATTAATTTACATCTTTGCTTTAGACAAACATATCGATGTCGTTGTAGATATAAATACGGAACCACTTACAAAAATTAACCTATCAAATTTACAGCACTTAGCCCCATTAACTCCACCTGCCGGTTAAAATATATTTTGTATGAAAACTGTCAATTTAACCTTACGATAAAATATAACCAGACATTGAGATAATGAGGGTTATTTGTATTGTTTCTGACATAAAAGTAACAATTTAATTGCCTTTACTAATTCATTTTAAAGTTTAATGCAGTAAAACATTTATAAGAAAATAAATCTAATGTTTCAAAATTGTAAATTTATCCACGTAAACATACTGCAGAAATGAAATAGTAGTTAACAATTTGTGATTATCTGTATTTACATTGTTATTAATTTGTTGTTCTTATCATAATTTGTACTTTATCTCTTTCTCTCCTAGACCTACATGACATATGCCCCAATACCAAATTGTACATACGGCTCATTGGGCGACCATTCATCTACAAATTATGGCACAGCAACAACGATGCTCATGCCTTCAACATCTCAACACAATAGTTTAATGATGCCCGCAGGACACAATAGCAATAACAGCAGTGGCAAGCCAATAGGCTGTCCAACAGTGGTCGGAAGTAGACAAACAACGCCACCTCCACCTGGCTCACTTTACACCAGCATGGGAGTCTGTTCGCCATCCGTTAGTGGGACAATGACAATGGGTAAGTAATAGAGTTCAGCGACTAATAACGATATCATCCAAGCTACTCTATGTAAATAAATTATTTTTATTTCAGTGAGTATGTATATATGTATATTAGGGAAATAACTTTTTAATATATTGCAAATTTTGAATGGAAAATGTTTAATTTTTTATTTTCAATTATATTTTAACGATGACCCGTCCATCTTCGAATTGTGGACTAGCACACTTCCGCCAAGCTTAGAGGCATTCCAAATGTTTGAGATAATTCTCGTTTAATAAAACATTATTACTTTAGTTATACCCCTAATGTTGATATCTATTTATTGGATACTACACACAATTTTACAAGTACTTGTATATGGATTTATGTATGTACCCAGGCCAACAACAAAAATAAATTGCTGTAAAACAATAAAATAAAAATCTATATAAAACTCTAGGTACGAGTAAAAAGCACTGAAACACATGTACGCAAAATTTATGATTTTTTACATAAATTTGTACATCCTTAGTATCACTTGAGAAAGGAAACAAGTTCTTTATTATTTATGTATGTACCTCTGAACATTTATTTTTTGTTGCTGTTTTATGTATGTATACACTAAGGTGGCCCGTTTGCATGGAGAAGAAATAAGTTACTGACATTCCCACCAAAAATTAAAGTTTATTTCATTCAAAAATACAGTTTCTCAAAATTTTTATCCTTAAGTAAATATTTAGTGAGCTGGGTAAAAGGATAAAAATATCCTTTTTAAGGGGTTTTTTCCATTTTTTATATTTCAATAAAAAGAAAAGTATGAATGATATCATGTGAAAGCTCTTTGACATGGCGTATTACACATTTTTGTTCAAAAATGTCGAAAATTTTACAAGAATTCAATGCATTTCTGTTTGACAATGTTTATTTCAATTTTGTGTCAGTGGTAACTCTAAATTACAGCTATGCTCCTAAGTTCAGGACAACCATCCAGAACTACAGGAAACTACAGATACAAAATAAAATTCTGCCTTTTAAAAGTTACAATTTATAGCGAAAATTTGTTAAAGGGTCCATAAAACGGATAATAAAATATATGTCAGATATATTGACTAAACTTTTTTATTTTCGAACATAAGAAAAGTAAAAGGTACACACCAGAGCTGTAAATGAATCATTCATTTTTGAATTAATTCGTTAATTATTTATGAATTCGTGAATTATTTATGAATTGAATTAGCAAATTTTGAATTAATTCTTTTTACATAAAAAGGATTTGAATGAAATTTGAGTCAATTTAAATTGATTTGGTAAAAATTAATTGAAATTCATTTCCAATTCAAATGAATTTGTCAAATGAATTGCAATTCGTTTCCAATTCAAATGAATTTGTCAAATGAATTGTAATTCGTGTCTAATTCAAATGAATTTGTCAAACAAATTACAATTCATTTCCAATTCATTTCAATTGAATTGATTTTGAATTAATTCACATATGCACACACATACATATGTAAGTATATATGGAAAATAGTTTTGACGATTTCGATTTGACGACCCAACTATGGCAATTATGAACAGTAGGTATTACAACTATTTATAAATTATTAACTACAGTTGTTGTAATCTCGCATATTTAATTACGATTTCACAACAATTAATTGTTGATCGTTTATTATTGTCAGTTATAAAGTCATTTTATTACATATAGATGTATGTCACAAATATACATACATATGTATGTATATCATGCATACATTAAATAATAGTACATTTGTCAACATATTTTTTATATAATACATACAACATATGTATGTCAATATTGACAACCCAATAAACAATTATAGACACATTTGGTAATTTTTTTTAAATCATTCTCCATTGTGTTCTTAAACGTATATTTTAAAACATATGTTTGTTGGGTAAATATAAATATGTAAATAAATTTATATTTAATTGAAAGTACAGTGTACATTTGCTATATGTAGTAACATATTTAATTATTTGTATAAGTATTACTACTAATAATTGAATACTCATTTATTAAAGAATTTTTAATTGTATATTTATAAAATTTGTAAAAAAGTAAATAACAGAATTACTTAATTATTGTTGCTAATAGCTTAGTCAATCATTATAAGAATTAATTTCAAACACTCCAGATTTATAATTCAAACCTAACACTTAAAATTTTTTACAAGTTTTCAATTGAAACTTAAATGTACAATTTCCAAACAAAGTCGTATCGTCTAAGTTGTATCAATATACTTACATAGAATTTGTTTCTTTTTAATGATATTAGGTTAAAAATAACTGTGACATAGAAATTACCGACATCATTTACAAATATTTACAAATTAACTTACATTTACATTTTTGGGATCAGCTCATATTTGGACATAGCTTCCATACAAATCCATCTATCGTAAATGACATACATATTTATGTATGTATATCCAAATCAAATACAAATATGCTATGCAGAAAATATATTGACTAAAGCCTTAAAAGACAAATTTTCATAAAAATTTTGTTCTCTAAGGCTTTTATTTTTTATTCTTAAAAACAATTATTACGGTTAATATACATATGTATATTAATTACAAAAGTTAAAAATTACATTTTAAAAATTCCATTTATTACATATTCTTTTAGGTCCTCACATCCTTACACCTTCAATTTTAAGTACAGGATCTAATCAAAATATGGGCGGCCCTTCATATTTAAGTGGAACGATAATGGTCCCAGGCCATCATCATTCGCATACAGGAACATTACGAAGACAATTAATTCCGACTAGTATGGGAATGATGAACACTCCTCAGTCATCATTAGTGGGCGGAAATACAGGTCCACATTCAATGGTGGGAGTACCGACATCATCCAGTGTATACTACGACAGCACAATACCCCGACATCTTAACCGAGGAGTGTCGGCAGATAATACACAATACTTTTACGGATGACATTCATTAAATCGTAAAGCTTCGTTACCAATTGCAATTGCCGTGAGACCAACACAAATGAATTTAAACATGATGCCCTTAACAGCTACTATGGGTTCGATGGCGGGTTCACCAGCTCAAGCAACTTGTAATAGTCGCACAGGTACACCAACTGGTACTGCATCATTAAAAGGTACCATGATACCAGAAATACCATCAATAACCGTGACTTCTTCACCAAATCCGAATTCAGCCCAAGGTTTTATGGGTCCACGACATGCATTAAAATCGACAAACAATGATGACACACAACATAGCCAACTACATAATTCGCCACAGCGGCAACCTACATCGCAAACTCACAATGTGACAAATGTAAGTGGTGATGAAAAGTCACAAACAAATCAAGATAGAAGTAATTGTTTCTAGAAATTTTGATACCAAAAATAGGTTATTTGATTATTATATAGTATAAATATCAGTTTTTTCTAAATTTGTACATAAATATTTTTTTATTAAGAAATTTAGCAAGTTTTGATCCTTTGTGGATTTAGTATAGAGTACTTAAAAATACCATAAAGTTTATACATATGTAGGCATTTATGTATGTATGTATCTTAAAGCGATTGTATCTATGTATTGTTAAGTTAAGTACTCTTATGTTGTAAGTACTAGTAGTACTGTAAGACTTGTTTGAAACAAAGTTAGTGACTTTATAGTAATTAACGGTTTTACAAAAACAAATACAAAAATACGAGTAGATTTTTTATTAATTACAATTAATATGTATTAAACGAGAAGTACTTATTTTATAAGTCTATTAAGGAAATGTAATCAATTTTTCCATCTATCTCCTAAAATCTAATAATGAAACGACAACAAAGCAAAAATTGTATCATAATATAGTCCGTATTTCCTAATTATTAATTCAAAAGTTAAATAAGTTCAACTTAGATAAAATATAAATATTAAATAGATACATATTTATAAATAAATAAAAACAAAAACAAATAACATGCATAGTCGACCATGGCCGATCTTATGACACCCTACACCAGTGAGTATATTAAAATGTGGTTAATTTTTTAATAAAGTTTATTTTACATGAATTTCGAAATATTTTGACAATTTGTTGACAAATGTGAATTCCTGCAAAGAGGTTATATGGAGGCAAGGTTATATGGACTTATCCTTATTGATTTTGGATGAGGGTTTCGTTCTTGGGCCAAGAGAAAAGAATGTGCCAAATTTCATCATATTATCTTGAAAATGTCAACATGTAGCGTGCTCACACTGTTTTCAAGGATATAGCTTATTCGACTCATAAAGTGTTTCTGAGTCACACTATAATGGTGTAGGGTATAACAAATAACATTAATGATGTTGTAAATAACATACTGGTACAATTGTACAATATTATCGTACAGTACATGAATTAAATAGTTTACAATAAATAATTGTTATTTTTAATAAGTTTAATTAATAAGTATGTATAGATTTTAAATTTTATTATTAGTTTCGATTTAATACTGAAGGATGGAATACGTTACAGAAGAAATTTCATGAAATCTTTTATTAAACATATAGCATGTACATATGTTTGTAGTATGTACAATAGACCGACTCGCAAAAAATGGGGTTTGAGTTACCATTCTCAACATACGTACCTTGTTTTGTCATTTGATGTTACCCATAACATTTTGGATTTAGTGTAAAATTGCGCTTATATGTCCCACTAATTATGGAACTTCATTATATAAAAATATTATTTAAAATTTAGAAATAATAAAAGTAAATAACGTTAACATAGTTAATCCTGATAGTTTTATCGTACATCTGGCTTCTTATCCATCTATTCATTGGCATGTGGTTGATCCAGTTACGGAGCTCCCGGTCAACATAAGACTGGTCTAGGGATTGGATAAGAGTATCAGTGTGCAAGTTATAGAAGGCGCCTTCGATGTCAATGCATATCGCCAGTATATACAGTTTGCTATCAAAGGATGCACCTATGTAGTGGACAACTTGGTTTAAAGCGGTTTCCACCGATCGTCCCTTTACATAAGCATATTGCTTATATTTAAGATCTTTCTCTGGTATACCGCTTTTAACCATACTATCGACTATGCGTTCCAAGGTTTTAAGGAAGGCTTGTCGGTCGATAGGACTTAGGTGTCGCATAGCTAGGTTTTCCTGGTTTGGGTATAAATATTACCCTTGCATCCTGCCATTTAACTGGGTTATATGTTAATTTTAAGCATGTAGTGAATATTTGTGACACATGTACGGAAACCAGTCCCGCCTCCACCTGCAAAAGTGCCGGGAAAATGCCATCTTGCCCTGCAGCTTTATAGGGAGCAAGTCACTTGAATGCCCCTTAACCATGTCAGATGTAATAACTCTTTCCGTATTAGCATCCCCTTCCTCCAATATTGGTTCATCTATGGTATTTGATATACCGGGTGGGAAATGAGAGTTTATTAGGAGTTTCATTGTCTCCTCCATATCCTCCAGCCTCCTGCCCGTGTCATCGATCATAGATTCCGGCTGAACATGAGTTTTGGATAGGAACTTTTTTATCTTCTTATCAGGAGTCTCGTTTGGCTTTTCGAACGATTTTCTTATATTCACCAAGTTTATTACGATACTCATCCCAGTATACTGCGGTCTTTTTACGCCGTGCGCGGTTAACTAGTTTGCGAACCAAGGTTCCGGTTCTCCCCGGTTACCCCGGGGTTTCTCCTGGGCAGATCTCCGCTCTCGCAGAGGGCAGCTGTCCCCGAACGATTCAACCAAGGCGTTTCTACTTTGGCGTCTATATCCTTATTTCGACATTGAAAAGTGTCCTGACCTAAACGGTTCTTTAGTAAGGTCCCGAACATTGTCCAATTAGTTTTATACTTATTTCGAAACTTCGGCTTTAGTGGTGGTCTTAGTATTTTGAATGTACCGATGGTCAGAAAAGGAGTGCTCGTCCGAAACTCTCCAATCCTTAATTTCGTTTATAAGCGTATTTCGTAGTGTCGGAGAATCGAAGGGCAGTTAAACGGAAGCGAGATATATGTTGTCACTACCTTGCTTCAGTACGGTTGCATCTGATGAGGATGAAACATAAGTTCTTGTGACATAAGATACATGTTCTCGGGCGAGACCCTGAATCAGCTTAAAAAAGTTTTAAATTTACGTGATTTAATCCAGAAACTTTGTTGCGACTCATCCAAGATTCCTGGATTAAAGCTATATGTAATTTACCTGTGTTCATTTTAGCCATCAGAGCGTTGGTAGCCGTCTCGCCCCGATGGAGGTTTATTTGGATAACTTCAATCATGGTCATCCATTAAACTCTCTTCCAGCGAGTTGGTTTTCACCTCCTCGCTCTTTGGACTTGACTCCTCTGGGTAGACAGAAGTGGTTATTGATGCAGTGGCAATGGCACTGCGGTGTCCTTATCTGGCATTGGAATATGAGACTGTTTAATCGACACCTTCCCAATTTCCTCCATTTTAGGATTTGGCTCCTCAACATTAACAGTACTTGCTAATGATGCTTTGGGTACCGTCGTAAGTGTTTTAGAGTCCTTGTCGGGGCCGGTTTTGGCAGCCCTTTCAATCGGCGCCTTCCCAATTCTGGAAAGGGCAGCTGCACTTTCTTTTGGCGAGTTAGTGGTAACTTCCTTGATTTTAGGATCTGACTTACCTTAACCTTATCAGTAGTGGCTAATGATGCTGTGTTCTTAGTTTTTTCGGGGCTTGTTGTAACAGCCTTTCCTATCGGCACCTTCCCAATTTTGAATATGACAGCTTAAGATGCGAAGTAAACCCTACCATTATTCTTGGCAAGACTAGCCAAATTCTTGTCGATACCTATTACAAATAGAGTTCCCTCAGGTTCTTCTTTTCTGTAAAAGGCATCCCATTTTTTCACGGATATATGCCATTTGAAATGTTGAAATTTTACTTAAGGTACGTTCACACATATCAAATATTTGACGTAACGTAACCACTATTTTTTGTAAAAAAATATAAAAAAATTCTAAAGAGATAACTTTAATGATAAATTGTCGATTTTTTGGGGGTAACGTCATTTTCGTCAAAAGGTGTTAACAAACGCTACTCTAGAGGTGTTTTTACATATAAAAGAATTTTTATGAACATGCAGAGGAATACGGCAGAAAATTAATTCTAGATTCGAAGATGTCTTCTTGTCTTAAAGTGCCTTTTCCAGAGTTGTTCGACATAAAATCATTGGATCCGCAAATCTGTGGAAAATATTGACATCTTAAATGTTTATTTTCAATGAAACAAGAACGGATGTTTGCAGACCCGCACCCGTCAAAAATACCAAAAAGAACAAGTAAGAAATTATAGTCGGGCGTGGCCGACCATATGATACCCTACACCAGTTATGAATATTAAATGTGATTTATTTTTCATAATAAAGCATTTATCTTCAATATTCCCTTGTTCCGATACATTTAAGCAATTTATGGATGAAAAACTAATTTTCTGAAAGAGGCTTTATATGGGGGCTAGGGGCAAATATGGACCAAGCCCGATAAAATTTTGTGAATATATTTATATTGACATAATATTTTATTGTGCTGAATTTCATCGGGATATTTGTGTTTATAAGCTAATTTGGTACATTCAAGTAATTTTCTGAAGGGGACATTGTATGGGAGCTAGGGTCAAATGTGGCCCGATCTTTATGAAATTTGGCAGGGTCATCAAGACTTCTATAAAACTTAGTTGTGCCGTATTTTATCGATATATCTGTATATTTAACATAATTATGAGCTCAGAAGCCCTTTTCGGGGGGTTCTGTTGTATGGGGGCTAGGTGAAATAATGGACCGATTTTAACCATTTTCAATAGGCTTCGTCCTTAGGTCAAATAAAACGTGCGTGCCAAATTTCATCCAATTATCTTGAAAATTGCGACCTGTACCTTGCGCACAAGGTTTACATGGACAGCCAGCCAGCCAGCCAGCCAGACGGACGGACGGACGGACGGACATAGCTTAATCGACTCAGAAAACGATTCTAAGCCGATTGGTATAC